CTGGCTCCTGGCTTTGGCCTAGTCCAGCCCAGGCCATTGTGGCCATCTGGGGAATGAACCAGCAGGTGGAAGATCTGTCTCTCCCCTTCTCTCTCTGTAACTTGGCCTTTCAAACAAATAAATCTTTAAAAAAAAAAAAAAAAAAAGGTACGTTTTGGCACAAAAACGTCTTGAAATCCATGCACAGTTTTTTCATAATACACATTTTCCATGAACTTTTTCAAGACTCCTCATATGCATGAATTTCAATTCTTTGGGGCCAAAATAAACTTATAAATCCACTTTCCAAGAACTTTTCGAAGCAGCCCCCTACACAGGTAAAGTGGCTTGCATGAAGCAACAAGCAGGTGTGGAGAGCCTGGCCCCCTTCGCATCTGCACCAGGAGGCCAGGCTTGTCCCACACCAGCGTGGTCGCCGTAACTCCCCAGAGGACCTCGCACATAGCTTGGCCCAGGCTGAACGCTGACCGAGCTCCTCAGGCCCTGTCCTGGACGCAGAGGACCCGCACGGGCCCCTCCTGCCTCTTCCTGCCCCACAGCTAGCTCATCTCCAACCGCTCAGTAGGCAGCCAGTGCACCCCGCTCTGGGGATGCGCAAACACGGCACCCTCCAGGCGGCCGCTGCGACCCAGGACTGCACCACACTCAACTTCCCTTCTCCAGGAAGGAGGAAAACCCCAGCCAGTCCACACTAGCTGGCCGGCAACTGCAGAAGGCTTTGGGGAGGATTAAGATAATGTAAGCAAGGTGCTAGACACACACAGGCACGTCATAAGCAGTTCTTATCGCAGTGATAACGATACCGCTAGTGGGACAAGCTTCTGGGGACAGGCTTCCCAGGGGAACGGGCCTGGGCCTGGGCCTGGGCCTGGCTGGAGGACTTCTGCCAGCCCAGGAACCCAGCAGACCTTGGAGCCCACACCCTCCTGCAACCTGATGATGATATCGGGGAAGGAGCTGCCGGCCAGCCCGGGGCCGCCCACTGCCTCCTGCTCAGCATCCCAGCATCAAACTGTGAGCATTCACAATTACAGACTCTGGACTTCCCAGACTTTCCTCTGCATCGACTTTAGGCTCTTTCAACTTAGCATCTTCCTAACCAATAATACGCACGGAGTCTGCGGTTTAACGCCCTACTTGCTTTTCGCCTGGTCAAAGACATAGATAACAACGAAGACATAAAAGAACCTTCCGGGTACCACCACCAGAAGTCGCCTCCCAGGACCCACCAGCGCTGCCCCACACCTGGGCACACTCTAACCACCTCCCAGGGCGAACTCGCCACCCCCCCCCCCCACTGCTGGGCCATCTGGGGCGTCTCAGGCATCCAGGTCCCAGTCACCAGGAGCAACACCCAAAGAGGCAGACCGCTCCCCTCCCCCCCACCCTGACACACACACACACACACACACACGCACTCTTAACATCTTTGATGCCTCAGCCCACCCTCCACGCACCCGCCACATGTCACGCCGATGGCTCTATGCCTCACATCTTCAAACGTACTTTGAACAAATATTAATGACTCCTCAGTGTTTCTCGGAGAGAGGGGGCGGCGGGGGAGGGGGCTCCCATCGTCCCATGCTGTCCTCAGCTGGGGGAAGAAAGCAGCCAACAGAATTCCGTGACTTCACCAAAGCCACAGACTTGAGCTGGGCCCCCTCCCCACCCGCCCGCCTTTCCCCCAATGGCAACTTTTACTGGCTTGCACTCCTCCTGCTGGGAACACTACTATTTAATTAAAAACGACAGACTTTTGTTTTCCTCTCCTTCTTTCCTCCTCCCTCCCATCCTCCCAGCCTGGATGCCAAGGAGACACACCAAAAACATGCGCGGAACATTTGTTATGGCTTTGAAGATAAAAGTCAATTGAAGTAAGCCCTCGCTGTATTTCAAGTCTCCCCTCTAGCGTGGAGCAAAAGCCGCCTGGCAGTTTACGAAAGAAAGAAAGAAAAGGGGGGGAAAAAAGGAACTGCAAATAAATGTCATTCTGCAGGAATACTTTGTAAAAATAAACAGGCTGAAAAAACCCAAAACTTGATTAATGGAAATCCACTCCATGGGCCTCTGTCTTGAGCTGCAAATGCATTTGTTCATATGGCTAAATTGCATCATTTTCACTGCCCTTTAAATAAATAAGTAGGATCAAAAACTAGAGACGGTGGGGGAAGAAAGGGAAGTTTGTAGTCCTGTTTTTAAAGGGCGCCGGCTGCAGTGCCCCCCACCCACCAAGTTCTGATCTTTACTAGGGCTTAGCAGCTCCAATTCCAACCCAGCCAACAGATGAAGAGAAATGGAGAAAAGAAAGCATCCAGCTAAGCCCTGGCGGGGGAGGGGGAGGGGGGCTTCTCCCAGACCCAGAGGTTATTTCATCCCCGAACAGGAGTCAAACGCGATCCCCAGGCCCACAGCCCCACACTGGCCCCTGCAGCGGAGCTGCCCAGTCCCCAAGACACAGACACACACACACACACACACACACACACACACACACATCTGAAGACTCCACCGGCTTCGCCCCAGCCCACAGTCCAGACCAAAGAACTAACCAGACCTGAGACTTCAGTCTGTTCCCCCTCTAAGTTAAAAAAAAAAAAATTAAATGTCACATCAAAAAGTTGATTCATCCTTTGATCCTCAGCTTGCCAGAGTTCCACGCAGACCGCCTGAAAGCCCCGTGCCGAGTTCTGGAGCTCACAGGACATCTGTGAACAGCAGTCCCAGGCCAAGAGCTGCGGCTGGCCTCACTCAATGCCCTGTCATCCCTACTGCTCCTCCGGGAACAACTCCACCCTCAGCAGCCCACGGAGCCGAGGCCCCAGGGTGGGCCTGGGGGCCACAGCCAAAGGAGGCCCTTGCTCCCGAGGCCCAAGCTAGGGGGTCTGCGGGGTCCCTGGGCCCCCCAGCTCTGGCCCCCAGCTGGCAGCCTGCCCTCCTGGGGTCCCTGGGCAGATGGCACTGAGGACTGCTGCAAACACTCAGACACATAAGGGGATGCCTGTAAGACCTGCCCGCCACGCAGTCACCCTCAGCGCCCTCTCTCTCTCCCCAGCCCCACCTCAACTCCACCTTGGAACAGCAGCCAGACAGGGGGAGAAGTCAGAGAAAGGCCCTCAGACTACTCCAGCACACACAAGCTCAGCCATCAACTGGGCCCACACCGCCTGGGCACCTAGGACCTTCCTCCCAGGGAACCCTTTCCTGCAGGGCACTGCCCAGCCTGACCTAAGGCCCCCCAAAGCACAGGCGCCCAGGGTCGCCGAGAGGAGGCGGGCGGCAGCTCCAAAGGGATTCTGGGACGATGGAGCGGTACCAGAAGGGCGCTAAAAGTTGGGGTGAGTGGGGCGAGAGGGTGGGGCAGGGGTCGTACCCGAGTGCCTCGGCCAACGGTGCCGGCCAACCGCAGCTGTCGGGGTGCAGAGACGCCGCCTGGGCAGCGCTGCCTCCCGATCCACTCCTCGATGCCTTTCCGAGCCCAGGCGGCGCTCACGGCGAAGCTGTCACCTGGGGCGGGGACGACAGGAAACCCCTGAGTCTGGCCCGGGAGCAGAAAGTCAGCCCAGAGCAGAGGGTAGGGAGCCAAGGCACTGCGGGCCAGGGCAGAGCCCGAGAGAGGGGTGCAGGTCATCAGGGTACGTTTCAGTGGGACCCCAAGAACCAGGACCCCTAAGAGGAAAGAGGGGTGTGACCTGTACCCCGGGAGGAGGAGCTGGGGAATGAGAAGATGGAGCGCGCGCCCGCCGGAGCCCAGGACTGCGGGATGGGGTCCGGAGAGGGGGCGCAGCGGGCGCAGGAGCCAAGATCTCGGGAGAGGGGGTTAGGGGCCAGCGAGGCTGGGAGTCAGGATTTGGGGGGAGGCACTTGGGGGTCTGAAGAGGAGGCTGTGAGCACAGAGGGCGGAGGAGGGGGAGGGGATGAGGGGTTCAAAGAGGCGCGCAGGACGGCTGGGAGGGGGTCCGAGGGGCAGAAGACGGGGCACGCAGGCTGCTCGGGGGCGGGTCTGGGGCCCCTGGTCGCAAGCCCCGCGGGCTGGGCCCTTCGGCCACCGCGCTGCCCCCTCCGTCCCCCGAGCGGAGCCCCGCGCGCCCCTACCTTCCGGGCTCTCCCTGCGCTTGCACACGGCGGCTGCAGCACATCGCGCGCGGCGGCGGCGAGGGGGGCGGCGGCGGGAGCCGGAAAGAAAGGAGAGGGAGAGAGTTAGCGACGGCGGCGGCGGGGCCGGGGCCGGGGCCGGCGCGCGGCGGGCGGGGGCACTGACCCGGCTTGGAGTGAAGTTTCCCCATGCTGGGGGCGCGGCGGCCCGGGCTGTCCTAAGCCATGCGCCCGGCCCGCCGGCCCTGCGCCTCTCGCCTCGCCTCGCCCGCTCCCTCCTCCCGGAGCAGCCCCCGAGCCGAGCGCAGCCCGAGGCGGCGCCGGGACGCGTTCCTGCCGCCGTCGCCGCGGCCCGACTGACGCCCGGGCGCCGAGCCCCCCAGCCCGCCGCCGCGGCCCCGCGCCTCCCCGCGTGCCCATTGGCCGGGCGCGGCGCATCAAAGGCGAGGCGGGCGGCGGCGGGGGCGGGCGGGGCGGAGCCTGCGGCGGGGGCGGGGCGCGCGCGGGTCTGCGGTCTCCAGCCAGGGGCCGCGGGCTGGGGACCCGGGCGGGGCGGCTCGGGCCAGGGGGCGCCCTGGGGCAGATCCTCGGTTAGGGGGCTGCGCGCCGTGGAGCCGACACCGCCCTCGCCGGCCGTGCTCCGCCTTCCTCGCCCTGGGTTTCCTCCAAGCGGGCAGGGCGGGACTTGGTGGCTCCAGTGTGCAGGTGGGGAAACTGAGGTCGAGCCGAAAGCCGGGCTACAGCGGGGCCCCTTCCTGGACGTCCCACCGCTGCCTCCTGCCAAAGTGTTGGCTTCTCGCCCGCCAGTGGCCCTCCTGAGACCCCTCTGGGTTTTCTGGTTTAGGAGAAGACCCCTGCCGCCCCCTAAGCCACCCCAGGCGGCCACAGGCGTCCCCGGGGCCGGTGGGTGCCCACCCCAGCTGCGCGGCCCGAAAGGGGTCACCGCTGGGCTTTCATCTTCGCGGGTCCTCCAGACCTGGGGCTTGGTTTGTTTTGTCTGGAGAGGACCCGCGGAGGGGTCAGAGGGGCTCCACGCCACTCTTGTGGCTCTCCGGGTGGGTGCCTGCCCTGCTGGGGGGACCGGGGGCTGTATGATGCTCACCCTGAGCTCAGAGGAGGAGGCGACCAGCTCGGCTCCCAGGGCTGAAATTCGCTGTGTGAGCCTCAGTTTTGTGATCTGCACAATAGAAATAGAGACACGTTTGTAATTAGGAAGTTTCTAGTAGCCACGTTTTTATTAAAAAAATAAAAAAGAAAAGAAAAAAAAAGAAATTGGTGTTGGTGTGAGGTGCCGGAGCTGTGACATCACGGGTAAAGCCGCCGCTTGCAGTGCCGACATCCCATATGGGCACCGGTGGCCCAGGGAAGCAGTGGAGGATGGCCCAAGTCCTTGCGCCCCTGCACCTGCGTGGGAGACCTGGAAGAAGCTCCTGGCTCCTGGCTCCTGGCTCCTGGCTTCGGATCAGTGCAGCTCCAGTCTTTGCGGCCATCTGGGGAGTGAATAAGCAGATGGAGGATCTCTCTCTCTCTTTCTCTCTCTCTCTCTCTCTCTCTCTGCCTCTCCTCTCTCTGTGTAACTCTGACTTTCAAGTAAATACATAAATCTCTTTTTTTAAGATCTTATTTATTTATCTGAGAGGTAGAGTTACAGACAGTGAGAGGCAGAGAGACAAAGAGAGGTCTTCCATCTACTGGTTCACTCCCCAACTCCCCAGGTCTTCCATGAGGGCACAGGGGCCAAAGGACTTGGGCCATCCTCCACTGCTTTCCCAGACCAAGCAGAGAGCTGGATCAGAAGTGGAACAGGCGGAACTCGAACCAGCACCCATATGGGATGCTGGTACTGCAGGCGGCGGCTTTACCCACTACCACACAACGTTGGCCCTGAAATTTCAAGAATTTCATACATATAGATTTAGCAGCATAGTGATACTTCCCACTCACAGTCCTACCCTCCCTCCTCCTTCCTTGTTCTCTTTTAATTTTTACAATAATCTACTCATAAGCTTAACCCTACTCTAAGAGAAGAAGGCAACCAATAGTAAGAAGAAAAAAAATTGTTCCTCAATGGTAGATACAAGGGCTGTAAATAATCATTGAATTTCAAAATGTCACTTTAATGCCTACACATTACATTTTTTTGGTACCCTATTAGTTACCACAGATCAGGATCTCTTCCTGGGACTGGCTTATTTCACTAAGTATAATGGTTTCCAGTTGTATCCATTTTGTTTCAAGACAGGATTTCATTCATTTTTATGGCTGAGTAGTAGTGTATGGTATATGCACCACATTTTCTTTATCCAGTCCTCGGTTGATGGACACCTGGGTTGATTCCGTACCTTAGCTATTGCAAATTGAGCTGCACACACCGTTTTTGGACTGTTCTTAAAAGTCAGTGTGGGCCGGCGGCGCCACGGCTCACTAGGCTAATCCTCCGCCTTGCAGCACCGGCACACCGGGTTCTAGTCCCGGTCGGGGTGCCAGATTCTGTCCCGGTTGCCCCTCTTCCAGGCCAGCTCTCTGCTGTGGCCAGGGAGTGCAGTGGAGCATGGCCCAAGTGCTTGGGTCCTGCACCCCATGGGAGACCAGGAGAAGCACCTGGCTCCTGCCATCGGATCAGCGTGGTGCGCCGGCTGCAGCGCGCCGGCCGTGGTGGCCATTGGAGGGCGAACCAACGGCAAAAGGAAGACCTTTCTCTCTGTCTCTCTCTCTCACTGTCCACTCTGCCTGTCAAAAAAAAAAAAAAAAAAAAAAGTCAGTGTGAATTTTGCTCTCGGACTCGGCCCCTGGCAGACTGGCCACATGGTGGGCAGTCATTGCAGCTGGCGGCTGGTGCACTGGATAGCTCAGCTCTGGAGCAGCCACGCGTTTCAGGGGATGTGGGGGGCTTCATGGCCCCCCGGAGCCATGCAGCTTTCCTTCAGCAGTCTTCACCCTCCATCCCGCAAGCTTGCTTTCTCGCATACCCTGTTTGGTAGACATGAGGGCTGCAGGTACACCGGTGCTGTCATTCCAGGAGTGCTGGCCACAGCACCATCACTGTTGTCACTTTCTTTTTAAAAAGGCAGAGTTACAGAGAGAGAGAGAGAAATCGTCCACCTGCTGGTTCACTCCCCAAATGGCTGCAGCAGCAGGGCTGGGCCAGGCTGAAGCCAGGAGCCAGGAACCAGGAGCTTCTTCCAGGTCTCCCAATTGGGTGCAGGGGCCCAAGCACTTGGGCCATCTTCTACTGCTTTCCAGGCCATTAGCAGGGAGCTGGATTGGAAGTGGAGCAGCCGAGACTTGAACCAGCACTTTTATGGGATGCTGGGCATTGCAGGCAGCAGCTTCAACCTGTTGCGCCACAACGTCAACCCTTTTTGTCATTTTCACATTGCCATTCCTTATCCAGTACCTATCCTGTGTCCCTGCCGTTGTTCAAGGTCACAACCACTCTCGGATGTAGACCTGTACTCGTTCTGGAGTGGTGGAAGCCTACCAGGTTCAGAGAGGTGAAGTTATGTGCCCAAGATCACACAGCTAGTCAGCGACCCGATTAGGAGCTGAGCCCAAGCCTGTTAACTGCACTGCTCATGGTTAATCTCAGGATGTCAGGTGGACCCAGCACCATCCAAACGCAATACCCCACCGCTAGAGAGAGTGTCCCATCTGGAAACCAGTAGGAAGCGCCAGCCACGTGACAGGCATTGTTTCAGGTGTGAGGATCCAGTGGTGAATCTCTTGGAGCTCACCCTCTCCCAGGGGGGTGGGGGAAGGAAGACAGGCCAGAAACAATCAACGTAATGAATGAGCGAACAGTATGGTCCCTTACAAGCAACGCCAGCCACGCCAGGCAGCTCAGTCCCCAAGGAGACACTTGGCCAGGGTTGCTGCTCAGCCTCCAATGTATAAGACAGTACCTCGCGCACTAGGACCACCCAGCCCCAGATGTCAGTAGTGACAAACGAGGACCCCTGAGCTACAGGAAAATGCGAGTGCAGAGCAAGGGGTGGGCAGGGGTCTGCGTTTCTGAAACAGAGCAGGAGCCTTCCTGCAGATCCCGTGCAGAGGAACCGGAATTTGCCAGGGCTCCCTGTGTGTCCGGCTCGTCCCGACCCCCCGCCGGTGCCAGCGTGCCTGTAAATCAAAGCAGAGCGCTCAGGGTTCTTTCTCACACTGCTTAGAACCTCAGTTACTTCCTTCAACCGGTCCCGGCTTTCTTCTTTCGTGAGAAAAAAAGGATCCCTTCTTCCCCCTTGGGAATTTCTTTTTACAGTTCAAAAAAGAGATAAAAGCAAGAACTAAAACTGCAGTTACTGGTTTGAGTCTTGGGGGGAAGTCAATCCCAAACGTGCAGACACAAAGGCCCCCTGGCAGCGGGCGCCAGGGACGTGGCTGCTCCCAGGATGGGACAGTGACACCACCCTCCTCCTCCCCACCCCACCCTGGGGTGAGGAGCAGGGGCGTGGGGGTGGGGGCAGCCGGGCCACGACTCTAAGAAGGGACTCACTCCCCAGAGCCCACCACGCTGTCCACCTGGGGTGCTGGGGTGGCGGCTCAGCCTGCGAAGGCTTCCCGCCCGCCACTGGGTGTCTTTTCATGTGTTTTAATAATTTATCTGGCCCATTTCTTGGGCTGTGTCCTTACAGTGACACATCTTTTGCTTTGAAGATTTCCCATCCTTTGGGGGAGGAGAATGGGAAGGGAAGGCAAGGGAGAGATAAGAGAGAGAGATTATAACAGCAACGGGTTTCGTGGGGCTTGAGATTTAGCGGGGCTGGTTTAGGTGAAATCTCTCACACGGAGCACGCTGGGAGATTTTTTTTTTTTTTTTAAACTACATCTCTCCGGTTGGCTGCCCCTATGCTTGTCCCCAGCTTAAGCCGTCTGATTTGGCCCCCTTCAAACGCTGCTTCCTATGGGAAGCCCTGTGTGACCTTCTAGCCTGGGGAGCTGTCTGCTGGGAGCAGCCAAGCCCCCTCCCCAGCCCATCTCCTGAAGGAGGAAGCCAAGCTTCCCTCTCTGGGGGGTGAGCGACCAAGGCAGAGTCCCACCTGGCTTGCATCTCTGGACCTGGTCGCAGCCTGGCGGGGCCGCGGCAGCGCCCCGCCCACCCCCACCCTGGGCTGCATTGTGCTGAGTGGGAAGGTGAGAGGGCTACGTGAGCATGGACATGCCAAGGAACACACTCACTTCTGAGTCTCTGCGGGTCCCCCGTGGGTCCCTACAGTGGCTTCATCTCAGTTTCCTGCACTGAGGGGCCTGGAAGCCTGGTTTGGGTGAGGAGGGGAGAACTTGGGGGAGGAGAGACAGGGAAGAGACAGGTGTCAGAGAAGCAGGGCGTATGGGAAAAGATGGTTAACCAGGCTCAAAGAAGGGGAGCCAGTGGTTAA